CAGCAAACCATAAAGCTTATCATATCCTTTGGAGTCGGAAAATTATTCTCACTAGTCGTGTAAGTCTTGCGAGTACATTGTGTACTCATGGTTTATTTACCCCTGTTGCAGATGCAGTTTGAAGAGTAGCTGTTGTGTGGAGGATTCTTCTGGTGGGCACAGACGATTCATTATTCTACCGTTAGATGTTTATTGTAATTCCGTTGTTTAAATTCTGCACTCTGAACTTAGTATTGTAATAATGTACTTCTAAGAACTCTTGTTGTATAAAATGGACTAAGTATTGTAAACTCGTTCTCATTATTGGATCATAGAGGGAAAGCGTGGATTATTCGAGTTCGCCCTTATGGTGTGCTTGATGGAAACCGTCCGATGTAGCCAGCTCTCGGGGTGGTTAGTGTTTGGTGGAAGATAAGCGTCTCCGAAAACATGCTATTTTGGACGGTTCTGCCACAGTGGGCGAATGGTGGAGCTGAACAAACCAGCTTCCACTTGCTCCCTGACGAGTCACGCACGCGTTGGACGTGGATGCCCACCACTAGCTTCTTCCTTGGCGCTGGTGCGAACGAAGGGGCAGTAGCAGTTTCACATGTTCCTTTGGCGGTGGAGTGCCGGAGATGACATGGCGTGGCAGGTCCCGTGCCTTACCATTAGTATTCGGCGTGGTGTCGACATGGCAGCGTAAGATGGAGGGCACAAGTGGTGGCAGATTGTGTAGGGGAGGGTGGCGACATAGCATGGGGAGACCGGATAAGGTAGAGACAAAAGATGAATAAAAGAGAAATAAGGGATGAAAAATAAAGGAAGGAAAAAAGAGAAAAATAGAGATACTATGGATATTTCACCATTTCCAAAATCCAGGAGAAGTCGTATTACTAAAAAGTTTTTAGTCGGGGAAGCTAGAGCTTAAAAAAGTTGAGAAACCATAGTTGAAGCTGTTTTGAACGAAGCCAGAGCTCTACAAACGTGCCCTTAATTCAAGTTAAGAGTTTTGTATTTTTATCCTCCTTTCTCTCTTGTGACTTGCAAGCCGGTGGACACAAACTCAACCCACGCTATCTTGCTGGCCACTGCCATCGTGGACCGATGTAATAACTGTTGGGGCGAGCACGATGAAGGGTTCTACGAGGCCCAGATGAAGCGACACTTAGTGGCGAAGCTAGGACTTAAATTTAGGAGGTGCAGATATCAATAAAAGCCACCATTTACTCTTTAATTATATGGTAAATTGCCTAAGTCGTGAAGAGATGCAATGGAAAAACAACAAAGTTAGGGGGGTCAAGCCCCTCTACACTACTACGGAAATCTTATTGGAGACGGACAAAAACGATTAATGGAGGCGGGCAATCCAACCGCCTCCGATCAAAGGTCACGGTTAATCTGTGACATACGGAGGCGATTCCTCTATTTATATGAAGATGGCTATCGGGCCTCGCTGGGCCCATTGGGCCTCGGCCTTTTTTAGAGGCGGGCTTTACAGTGTGCCCGTCTCTGAAAATCAATTTACGGAGGCGGATGCCTTAAGACGACTGCCTCCGAAAATATACCATTTTTTGAGGTGGTTATCTTAAGGCGTCCGCCTCCTTAAATTGACTTTAGGACCGCCTGACCGTCTCGGTAAATAAAAATGACCGCCTCCGTTAATAGCCTAATATTTTCGAAGGCGGTTGGATTTTGTATCCGCCTCCGTTAACGTTTGGGCATTGTCTCCTAAAATCATTTGTGTAGTAGTGCTAAGCGGTGCTCGGGTCCAGCCGTTCGGCATATTCAACCATTCTTGAACCGGCAGCAGTTTGGAGTCGAGACAAAATGACACAGCAGGTTGTCGTGCAGGAGAAACGGCACAATTGCGCTTATGTGCATCACATCTTGCACCCGAGTTTAAGGCTACGTACAACCTCAGCAAAACTTATTATAACAGCACATACTTACTTGATCGGAATATAGATCCATGGATAGCTGAAAACTTACAAGAGCACGTACTGACTTTGGATCGGAATGAATCCATGAACACTAGCATCGATTGCTGAACAAGGAAGAAGCATCTATTGGTACCGTACCGTACGTGCCTGTGGCCGACACGTCGACGCACAGATCGATCGGTTCAGGCGGCTCGTCGCGGCGTCGTGACGGCCGGCGAGGCAACGACGCCATGCGACGCAACTTTTCCCGTCTACTAGTGGCAGTCCGCCAACAGGCACTGGCAATACGGCCTCCACGACCAGCTGCAGCGCCCGTCCACGTGGCCGTGATCCAGGCAGGTCTCCTTGCAGTCACTGGTGAAGCAGATAGGGTGGTGGTCGTCGTCCTTCCAGCAGCTCTCGTCGTGAGCAGTCGACACCGCGGCGCCTGCGAGGGAAACGACGGCACGAAATCACATGAAAAACCGAGCTCGCCATCCGGAACGCCACGCTAATGTAGGAGCAAGGGAGCCAGGGATGACAGCGACGCTCACTGGAGGCAACGATGAGCAGCACAAGAAGGGCACGGCACACCGCGGGCTTCCTCCGATAATCCATGGCGGAAAGAAACAAGCTAGTGTGGACGAATCGATCGGACGGGAACGGGTCCAAGGAACGCAGCGGCTTACTCTTGGCCTCGTGATGATGCTCTGTTCGAGGAGTATTTTGTTGGTGTGGACTTGTAAGGTAGTAGCGCTCCATAAATGGCAGAGGTCGTGAGGCCCAGAGAGAATTTAGGCGCTCAAAGAAACCAGAGGTCAAGCGGGTAAACCGCCAAGAGACCGAACGTTCACCTACGGACTACGGTAGTCATTTTCTAGCTTGTTTCAACAATAGCAGTCGGCCTCTAGATCAAGCGCAGAATCGGTTCACAGGTCATCAGGCGTCTTCGCTCGCCCGAGCTGGGTTCCACCGTGGCTACTCCCACAAGCGCCCTGAGCTGGACATGGCCAAAAGAAGACTGCGCAATGGCAGCACGAGTCCGACTCAGAAAATTCCCTCTTCCATAAACAAGAACAAGAAGAAGATAGAATCGTGCTGCCAATCTTTTCAAACCATTCACCTTGAGCACCTAGGCTCGACAAACGGTGACTCCACATCGTTTGGATCAAAACACGCCACCTCTTTTCTCTCTCGTCGCCTTCCCCTCCCTGCCATTGTGAATCCTAGCTGCCCCCTACCCCATTTGCATCCTCCCCCTCCGCTGCAAGTTGTTCTCCGTAGGCGGTCAAATCTTGTTCTCTTCTGCCGGCGCAACATGCTCCCATGGCTTGAAAGTAGACAGTTGGAATGGGCAAGGTGAAGTAGATCGAGTATACACGTATCCTTCTCTCTTCTTATGCTTGTATCTCTACTATAAGGGACCTATCAAAATTACGTTCCGTCTACCCAAGAATTTGCGGCTCTCTGAGATGACCTTTGCTTCATTCACCTGAGAATTTACACACAGAAAATCCTCAGCTTACAAACCAACGACACAGATCTACTCTCAGAAGGCTTCACCGTGATCGTGTGGCCACGGAGAATTCCAGGTTTCAACGCAGGCTTCAACGCCTGCCTCGCTCGTGTGATCCCCGCACCGCTCCCTTACTCTCGCTTCGCTTACACTTCTCCCCCTCCCCCAACCCAAACCCAACACAATCCCCCCGTGTCGCCTACACGCACTGGCCACGACCAAACCCTAGACGCCGCCGCCCCCGGGGCGCTCAGGTACACGCCTCTCGCCTATCCGCCGCCGGGATTCCGCCGCCGTCCGTGGCGCCGAGCGACTGAGAGATTCGCACTAGGGTTCGTTGCGATTTCGTTGCTCAGGGTGATTTATGTTTTGTTTTTGTTCCTGTGCGTGATTGGATCAAGGCTGTCGTAGGGAGGAGAAGGAGGAGGAGAGAAGGGGATTTATGTCCCAGCGAGGGGACAGGGGCGAGGGGCACGCCAGGAGACCCGGCCGGTCCAGCAGCTTCGGCGGCCACCGCGGAGGCGGAGTCGGCAGCGCAGGCAAGGGCGGCGCGGGCTCCTCAGGCCAGCCTCCTCTCTCGTCCAACCGCAGGTAAATTACTGCCCTCCTCGTTGATTCTGATTGCCCTCTGCCTCTACGCCGCACGATTGGGTTGATCTCGCCGGGATGATAGGGTTTTGATGAGAACCTTGGATCTCGACTGCAGCTTCAGAAAGCCCGGCAATGGCCACGGCGGGCACCAGAGGGTGGTGAACCAGCCCGACACCACTGGTTTCCAGCCTGCACCCGCGCCTGACCCCCACCAAACTCCTGCACGTCCGCCACCGGCGCCTCAGAATGCGGCCGTGCATGTTCCCATCTCCGTGCCACGGCCGCAGCACCAAGGTGAGTGAGGTGTCCTGTTCTGCTATCTTGTATTGCGTTTGGAATGATGCAAACATGACCTAATGTGTTCGTTTGCTTGATTGCACGTGTTTTTTTTACTCACCAGATCCACAAGTGTCATCTTCATTGTCTGCCAGCGAGAATCCGGCTAATCCGCCATTACCGAAAGCTACACATGCTGCTCCTAGGGCTCCACCAAAAAGTAACCCACCGCTTCCTCAGGGAGGATCGAAAGATCTGCTCTCAGAAGGCTTCACCACGATCGTGTGGCCACGGAGAATTCCAGGCTTCAACGCCTGCCTCGCTCGTGTGATCCCCGCACCGCGCCCCAGGCAAAACTTCCCCTCCCGATCTCGCGCGTCGCCCTCTTCTGATTTTCTGTTTCCAAAAAGAAATCTCTCCACTTCCTGATTTTCGGATCCCAGAACGGCGTCAGCTTCACGGTCACCGAGTTCGACGCGATCAAGGAGCGCAAGGCCCTTGCGGGAGTTCCTGGACCAGGCCAACAGCGTCCACGCCGCCGGCAGCTGCGCGGCCGTGGAGTACCGCGAGCGTGGCGTGTTCAACGCTAGCAAGATGTTGGCGCAGATCTAGGAGGTGGAGGCGCTGGGGAAGGACCTCTTCGTCGTGGGCAAGGGGCGGGACTGCCGGCGCTGCTCCACCTCCGCTTGGCCTCTCCCAGGCCGCTGCTGCTCCCGATGGCCGCGCTGGTGGAGGCGAGGGATGGAGGCGCTGGTGGGACGGGTGGGGCGGAAGGCATTCCCGGGCTTCGGCACCTACGTGGGCGTCATGGAGTTGTACTGACACCTACGCGGGCGCCATAGAGTCGTACGACGCCGATGCAGGCTACTTCCGCGAAGGCTCTCCGGCCGCTCGTCTCCATCCCAAGCAGCTGCTGCTGCCAACGCCGACCCGGGGCATCTCGACCACGCCGCAGAAGGTAAGCGCTAGCTGCAGCAGAAATGGTGTTGTTGGCAACTGGATTCTGTGCTGGATGATGGATGTTTCCCATTGTTTTGATTGCGTTTTATGCTTTTTCATTTTTTCAATATATGTTTGGATTTAGGTCCTAGAAGGGTCTGAAGAGGAAGCCGATGCCTCTCATCAAGAGGCTGCGCACGGGGGTAATGCATTCCCTGCCTCTCTGCGATTTTGTTTCATAGATTGCCTGGTTGTCATGCCCATTGCGATCTGCAAGTTTAATGCTGGGATGCTAGAATGTGCGATTTTTTTTGTAGTCTAGATGTTCAGTGTGTCCTGCAGCTAAGCCTAAGGATGATATGAACATGTGGAGTCGTCTGGCTTTTTAGATTCTGTGGGTGTAGTTTCAGAAGTGCTTTTCTCATAGAAACGATGGTTAGCAAAATTGAAATGGTTCTACCCCGTAATTTTTTAATTTTGATGCTCTGGCAAACCCTGGTTCAGACTTGCAGTAGAGATGGTTGACTTGAGTGCATCAATAATTTTGCAGTAGTAGGAAATGTAATATTTTGCTAAAGTGCAGTGCCATGCTGACAACAACTGCATGATCTGAAGGTTTTCTAAGGTTCCCAGGTTAGAACAACTTGGAAAATACTGCGTTGATGTTGAAGTTATGAACAGAGAAACCTTTACACGGAAGAACATTGGCAATCTTTATCGTAAAGCATATGAAACATGCAAGTTCAAGGAACATCTTATAGGTTTTAAGACTTTAGGCAACAGAAACCTTTGGTAGTGGTCAATCTGCTAATGAACCATGGCCATTCAGTGTAATCCGTGAATGTCATATATTGTACTCCCTCCATTTTTAAATATATGACATTGAGGACAGGCTAGAACTAATTAGCTTGTTCTAAATGTCATATATTTAAATACGGATGGTGTATCTGTTAACGGTCTTTATATCGTTCCTGAATCAATTAATAATCCTTGTTTATATTCAACAAAGTACAGTAAGTATGTTTCTTTACCAAATTACTATTGTATGTTCATTTGTCTCTCGCAAGGTAGATAGACTCCTTTAATTTGCCTTTTCTGTTTCTTTTGTTCAGTCGCATTCAAATCAAGGCATGTGAGGTGTATAGTCAGCAGTTATGAGAATTCATTTATGCATAATACTATAGGTTTCTTTTTTCAAGAGTCTACTCTTGCAAAGAATTTTCCTATATACGTTAGTGTTACTCCTACTATTGTTAATGAGCCAATCTGTGACCACAAGGTGAGGTCCCGGGCCTACTTTTTTTCTAGAACCCAAGTAGTTCTGGCTTGCTGAATTTTGGCTGAAACTGGCTGAAAAACACTGTTCTGGCTGAATTGTTGTGAGAGAAAAACATTGTTCCGGCTGAAAAAACAAGCCGAACAAGCCGAATATGGGGTAAGCCGAACGGGGTTTGTTGAGCCCTGAAAGTGGCACGATCTCAATTGTCTGTTTCCAAATTTAATCACTACTGACACATTACAAAGCTACATTCTTTCTTAAATAGTGTAATCATTAGACGTTACAGGTTATATTGCATTTTTTCAGGATTTGCAGGCATGCTTTCTTATGTGCCCTTCTTTTTTTATTTATGAAAAAAATAATCTAGGTGAAATGGGATACTTGATGGGATGGGCTAATTAGCGTTGAGCACAATTATAAGCTTGATGTTAGCTCTCTTTCCGTTGCATGTTTATGAATCTACATCTCAGGCTAGATTATATTTACAGTCATTTGATTGTCTTCTCAGATAATATTTCATCTGGCTGGGACTTCAGGCAAGCCTGTGGGCTATTGGCAAACAATTGCGGCTTCTGGTATGTGTTCCCTATGTCAATGATAATGCAACTATTTTGGCTATCTCAGAGATTAAATCATGTTGTGTAACTTGAGTTCACTGGACATCCAGATAAAGCACCAGCTAATTAGCTCTAAGGGCACCTTATGAAGATAGTGGAGCTTGAAGACCTGAAGCCATCTTGCTGCCTAGGCATGTGCTCCTGTAGATGTATTTCTCTGTGCATATCTTTGTAGCTGCTGGTTTGCTGTTGAAGGTGCAGTACTCGAGTAGTTTTCTTTTGGCTGTTGTTGGGTGCAATACTGTAGTGGTTTTGTCTTGGTTGTCGGCTTGCTGTTGTCAGCAGCAATACTAAAGTAGTTAATTGTGTTTGGTAGTAAAATTATTCGGGCCTTCTGTTTATAACTACACTGCAGGATTACAGAGCTGACTGGGTGCAAGCAAGGCTTGCTGATGTTCGTTGCTGGAAATTGTTTAAATTGCTTTTTGCATGAATTGTAAATATTTTCTCAATCTATGTTCGTGAGTTTTCTTTTTTTTTTTTTTTTTGTTGACACGTGCAAGTACAACCTGATGGCTCATGAGCTCAGCAGGAAAGCTGGTAGCTGCAAAGCTTAAGAATTGAGAAGTTTGGAGTGGAGAGAAAAAGAAAAAGTTGTGCATGAACGTGCATGTTTTGCCAATATGTCATGTCAAAGACTGAATATTGTTTTCAGTTTTGTGTCAAGAGTCTTGTTTTGTAATGGTATTATTGTTGAATCCATGATAATAAAGTTGTCTTTGGCAAAGAGGTCAGTGTTCCCGTTGTAATATTGGATCTAGAACTTTTGAAATTATAAATATTATGCTGGTAAATCACTTTTTGTTGTTTGATTTGGATTACCAAATGTCACCGTAGCGTTAGCACGGGCATTATATTAGTTTAGCATATCAAATTGTAAGCATATCTCCTTTTTATGGTAATGTAAGGATAGACCCGTTAGATTATGTCGCTGTTCGATTTCACTATGGTAGTGAGTTTTTCATGATGACAAGCAACTTCATTACTTGGGTGGAAACTAGGAGACGTCGTTCATTGAGCGTGACAAAAATATCTCCTACTCACGCGTTGCAACGGGATACACATCATGTATTCATGTTCTATGGTTCTAAAGCTCATAACTACATAGCTATCCTGTTGTATTTAATTGAGCTTGGTCCAACCTTATTTTAAATAGATCCTAGTAAAACCTATAATAAATATTAACTGCAATAAAGGATTAATTTTATATGAAAATTTGACTCGGCTTAAATAAGTGGATATTGTGTATATCTATTATGAGGTTATTAAAAAAATGTGGAAGTCTAGCCACACATGTGTGTGGCAAGTCGCGATGCACATGGGCTCAGGTTCAATTAACCAGGTCACCCCACTAGCGGTGCGATGCTAATGAAGTTTTTGCAACTTCAAACTAAGCGAGGAATGACGAACCATGGGACAGAAGAAAATGAATGGGAGTGAAGGACAACCGTGAAAGCGAGGATATAAGTGAGTAACGGAATAAAAGATGTGAAAAAGAAATTTTCATACTTTAATATTAGATTACAGATATAAATATAGATTTCACCGTTAGAAGGGCGGTTTTGCCAAAAACTAGTTGTTCTGGCCCACCACCTTGATATAAGTATATCAATGATCATGTACTGTACAAGAGAGGAAGAAACGAGGTATCCCCTTACATTTTTTATGATCGGATAATAACTAATAACAGTCTAAAATGACAGTTTTTGCACATTACCCCAACAGTAATAGGATTACTCACCAGACGTCACAAATTAAATATACAGTATACTCTTTATTTATTCTATCTATCAGGACATCAGATCATAGAATGTGCATACCTATATGTGCAGAGAATTTCTGCACTAAAGCCACCTCAGTTTCTGTTAGCCTTCAGCTGCGTCAGCTTTACAGGCGTCGCCGGCGTTGATGAGAAACCACCGTGCAGCTTGCCGCTCCTGTTGTCGCCGCTAACCCTGGGGCTGCCGCCGTCCGCTCCTAGTCCGATGGAGAGCTTGCTCAGAGCCTTCCGGGCGTCAGTGCAGTACTTCTTGCTCGTGTCAAGCAACGACGACACGCCCCATCGACGGCTCGGCAAGTCGTCGCGGTCGCGGCCCCTCTTCTTTTCTCCACGCGGCGGCGGCATGTCGCTGCTAACGGCTTGGCTATCTTCCTTGATGACATCGCGCAGGGTGGTGGTGACCCTGCGACTGTGCGAAGGTGAAGGCACCTCGGCTCTGGCGCGAGTCGTCGTCGCGTGCTGCGCCACCGGGCTCCTGAACCCGCAGACCGCCGGCTTTGCGCTCCAGGGGAAGAACACCATGAGGCCACAGGCTCTTGGGGTCATCTCCTCGGCGTCTGCATCCATTTTGATCCGTTGCATCAGTTGCATGGGGACGTTGTCGTTGAGGAGCCTAGGCGTCCACCGACGGTCACGGTCCTCGTCGTGGCTGCGGCGCGTGCTGCCCCGACGCGGTTGTCTTGGACGCCTGCCCGAGGCCGACAAGTCGGTGGCTTCCGCGCCAGGGTGTCGGGTCCGGTCCTTGGCGAAGCTCGTGGTGCGGCCGACGAAGATGTCCTCGAAGCGCTTCGACGTGACCCGGTCGAACGAGCCGGTCGGCTCGGGCGAGGAGATCTTGTCCAGCGCGTCGGAGAAGGACCTGTCGTCGTCGTCGTCGCTGCTCGCCTCGCTCGTGTTGCCGTAGTACAAGTTCCTGGCGAGGTACGGCTGTAGCAGGCGCCCGGGCGGCGGCCTCGGCGGCGGCATCATCGCCTCCGCCTTCTTGTGCATGTCGTCCCTGCTGCACGCGCTGTTCTTGGGCACGCCCGGGGAGCTCTCCCAGGAGAACGGCACCTGCGTCCGCAGCGGCGACGCGTCGCGGCGGCAGCGCGTTCGTAACGCGTCGACAGAGGTGCACGACCGGCGAGGCGTGGGCAGCGGCGAGTCGAGCAGCGGTGGCGGCTGCCCGTCGGCATTGTTGCACTCGCTCTCCGTGGTGCGCTTGGTGATGATATGATCCATGGATTACGACGCGGGCTAGAAGGAGCAGAACTGTAACTACTGTGCGTGAGCATGCGTCGCCGGCATATACTAGGTGGCGGCCGGGGACGTTTAAGAGTGCACGCGAAGACTGTAGCCAAGCCGTTGAGCCGATACCGCCGACGCAAGCTTTTCTGCGAAAAGTAGAAGAGTAGAGGGGCGGTTGGGCTGTAGCGTCGCGGATGGTGGCGTGTCAGAGCTCCTTTGCTCACTCCCCGTGAGTGTGCTCGAGAGCTTCTTAATGGCGGAGGTTGCCGACCGAAAGGAAGGAGACGATCGTACCAATTGGATCCCACGGCGCCCTCGTGGACTGTGGTGCCGTCCCCCCGCTAGTCCTTCTCTTCCCGTATGAACAATTGTTGAAACTGTTTTTTTTTCCTCTTATGTTGTTTGAACTTCCAACGACTGTCATGTTTAACCTTCTCCTATTTTTTTTGTGGCAACTTTGAATTCCAAATTTCCAACTTTCAGCGGACTCCTCTATTTCAATCAAAAACAAATGTACGAAAAGATTCAAAGTTTATGCTAGAGGCAGGAGAGAGTTTAGTTGCTAAAATGGTGGTTATTTTATTTAGGGTAGTTTCATTTCCATCCTTGATTTTGTGCGTATCACAGGCCTGGTCTGGTCTGAACTTCGGGCCATGCTGGGCCGAAAGTTTATCCGATAGATGAGGCCCATAAGAAAATGCAAATGGGCCTTCTAGTAGTATAGAGCCACAAGAACCTAAAGCCCGCATTCCATCCCACTGCCGAAGTGCCGAGGCCGAGGAACGATTCCCTTCGCACAATCGTACTGTTCCCCTCAAACCCCAGCCAGCCATGGCGGTCGCGGCGGATTCTGCCGCCGATCAAGACCCAAACCCTGTACCCGACGAGGCCGCGGGCGAATCCGTCGAGGCACCCGCGTACCCTGACCACGGGGAACCCAATGCGGATGCTGCTGACGTGGAGTACGAGGATGAAGAGGAGGAGCTGGACGGGGAGGCGGCGGAAGCAGCGGCGAGAGAGAAGGTGGAGGCGGTGTTCCGGCGGCTGTCGGAAGACCCCGTTGGCATCCGCGTCCACGACGTTATCATCAAAGGCAACACCAAGACCCGCGACGCGCTCATCGAGGCGGAGGTCGTGGGGCTCATCCGCTCCGCCGCCACCGTGCAGGACCTGGTGCGCACCGCCAGCGTCGCCAACGCGCGGCTCAGGCGCCTCGACGTGTTCGACTCCGTCCACATCCTCCTGGATGCTGGCCCTCCCGAGCTGCCCGGCACCACTAACGTCGTAATCGAAGTCGTCGAGGCCGCTAACCCCATCAATGGAAGCGTCGGCTGCTTCTCCAAGCCGGAGGTTAGTGAACTCTCGGAAATATCCAAGCGCATGGGTAGCCACTAAGAATTAGATGAAATGAAGAGCATCACACTTTGTTTAGAGACAATTTGATATTGCATTGCGCCATTGTTGATTGTTTACCTATAGATGTAATCTGGTATTACATTCTTCAAATTTTGCAAAATGTGTGCTCAGCTCTTTTCTTCAGCTAGTAATGGGTTGGAGAAGAAAATAGTCGAAAAAAAATGTAACCCAGGTATCTATGATTTGGATTCTGTACTATGCACATGCTTCAGCTATTGTTTTATGTACATCTTACATCTTTCCATGATTACTATATGGCGTTCTAAAACAATGACGCTTGAACTGGATATGTTGCCATCCAATACCTGACAGTGGTAGGTCCATGGCCATATGCCACTCCACTCCAACGGTGGCTGATCTGTTGGTTAGCAGTAGGCCCATTGGCTGCCACTCCACTAAGCTACTTGATTGTGGCAGCCGAGAGCCACTGTTGCACAGTGCTCACTGCTTATGTGTTGTTCATATTGAAGGTATATGAGTTTTTAGTTGAGCAGAAAAGATTTTGAAGGCTTTTGTTGTGTCTGATTACGACATCAGGGTCATTGCAATAATACGGTAGTCATTTGGATAACGTTATGATCTTCAAAAGTTGAATCTGTTTTGCTGATTCATGATGTTTCTGCTGTGCTTGATTTTCCAATTAATAACCACAAGGTAATGTTCAGAGAGAAAAAAACATGCATTCCTGACTGCAGTTAGAATTCTTTTTAAATGGTCTGAGTTGATTTGATGCATCTCAACTGTTTTTGTAAATTTAGGATTTATTTGCAAAGATTCACCTTTCCTTTTACAAAAGTAGGATTTATATTCATCCTATCCTTTTGTAGAATCCTGCAGTTAAGTTGCTTACTAGTTACTATATGCTACTCTTTGTACTTCTCTCCACTGAATATAAACTTGAGGGTTTAAATTGTAGGTATTTTAAAGGACCAAATAACCTTACGGGCACAATTCCCTTCTGAATCGTACATAACAATATAGCTGGCATTTTGTCTTCAAGCTAACATCTTTTATTTAACTTCACTTTGATAAGCACAATTCCCTTCTGAACATAACAATATAGCTGGCATTTTGACTTCAAGCTAACCTATTTTCTTTAACTTTGATTAAGCCTTTTTATGCATGTCATGCTAAAGTTGAGCATATTGAGCTCGTACCATTGACAACCTAACAGCTGAAGGATTGATTGAAAGGCTTGGTTTTGTCTTCAGGCAAGGTCATGGACAGTTGAAGGATCAGTCAGATGGAAGAACATATTTGGTTATGGCGACATCTGGGATGCTTCGGGAGCATATGGGTGGGACCAGTCATCAGAGATAGGCATTGGAGTATCCTTGCCAAGATTTAGATCGATACCAACCCCCTTGACTGCTCGGGCATCACTGTTGTCTCATGACTGGCTGAAATTCTCATCATACAAGGAACGCCTGGTTGGCCTATCCTTTGGTTTGCTTTCAGGCGTGCACCATGATTTGTCTTACAATCTGACTTGGCGTACCTTGACTGATCCTTCACAAGAGGCATCACAATCCATAAGAAGACAGTTAGGACATAACCTTCTTTCTGCATTAAGATATACATATACAATAGATCAAAGGGATTCCAATCTCAGGCCAACCAAGGGATATGCATTTGTCTCAACTTCACAAGTTGGTGGTCTATGGGGCAGCAAAGGATTGAGATTCTTCCGCCAGGTTCTTTCCGAACCAAGCTTCTTTAATTTATATTTCTGAAAGTTTGTCTAATCCTTTGTATCCTTGCTTTTCAGTTTATGAATTTTTACTACGTATCACTTTGTCCTGTTTATTTTCTATACTGTTGCTAGTGAGCTATCTGAGAAGTAAAGCATGAAGTTGAAAGAATGTATTTTGCATTTTCATACCAGCATTACTGTTTGATCAAACTGCATTCTTAGATCAAAGTATACAAGTTTCTCTATGGAGATCTCTAACACACTTGATAAGTACTTTGTGATTTGGAGAAGAGCAAGCAGTCTAGTATTTAATGGGGTTCAGTTGGACTGGCAATGTAGAATTGTAAATTTGTAATTAGCTATATTACCCAATACTCTAATTCTGAAACAAACTTTTTGTGTGATGATTTGAGGTGGGGGCATCATTAAACTTAGACCCCCATATCCTAACAGAGCCATTTCTTACCACTTACTAGTTAGTCACTGATCCTGATATGTTCCTAGTTTTGGTTTCTCGACAACAGATCCAATCTTTCAGTAGTGCCTATGAACCATAAGATTGTTTTTGTAATAAGTTGGATGCTGTTTGATTGTTTTTTACTTAATCTATTAATTCTAATGAATCATATATGATACTATGCATGGTTAAAGATTCTCATGTCAATTAATATATGCAATAAAATAAAGGCTAAAGTTGCCCAACAAGATCTAAGGGTCTAAAGCATGGATGGTTATTGGCATTTTAGATGATGTACATCTACTTCTAAACTTTAATTACTGAAATCATGTAGGGCTGTGCACCGTTGAGTATCGTCACCTGAAATCCTTTTTTTTTCCAGGAGTTTGATATTCGTGGGGCTGTTCCATTGGGCTTTTACAATGCTGCCCTAAATGCTGGCATCTCAGCAGGGGTGATTGTACCATTGGGGAGGGGGTTTATGGAATCACCTTCATCTGTACCAGATAGATTTTTCCTGGGAGGCCATTCTTCTCCAGTAATCAGTCTTGGTAGTTTAACTTCTCTACTGGGTTTCAAAACAAGAGGAGTTGGGCCAACAGAACTACGGAGATTTGTCCCAAGTGAATCTGTTACAGATGAATCTGCAGCCTCTCCAGGATGGGATTATTTGGGAGGTGATTTTGCAGTTTCTGCATTTGCTGATCTATCCTTTAATTTGCCCTTAAAGTTATTCCAGGATGCTGGCATACATGGCCATGCATTCCTAACTGCTGGAAATCTTGCCAAGTTGTCCGAGGGTGAGTTCAGAAATTTCTCATTTTCCAAGTTTGGGCGCACACTTAGGAGCTCAGCTGGTGTTGGCATTATCTTACCCACTAAGCTTCTCCGTGTGGAGGTATGTTTTTTAGGTCCTATCGAACTTTCCTATATAAAATAATCATGGATGCAACTGATCCATTCTCTCGGTCTTGTGTTCCCAGATAAACTACTGTCATATACTGAAGCAGTTTGAGCACGACCGTGGAAAGACTGGGATTCAGTTCAGTTTCTCGTCTCCAATGTAGATGTCATGTATGTGGTACAAATGTGTTTCTACAGCGGTTCTCCCTGCCAATGAACAATGCCCTGACTAGTTTTGCTGAGCATTTCCGCTCGTCCTATTCTTTTCTGGCTGAATCGTCTTTTTAACAAGTAGGAGTTCAGCAAATCCATATCCAGATGATTTGATCTTTTGTATCATGCTCGTTCTTGTCCATTAGAACTGGAAGAGTTACCTTGCTAATGGTTATTGTGAACTGTGCTGGTTTCATGGTCGATGAAACAATGCGTATATGTTGGCGGCAATAATGTTTGCAGTATGGGAAGTTTGCATATACGTATGATATATGACCATGTTTATCAAGGTGGTAAAGCGAGGCGTGGCCACTTATATCGCCTTATAGGCAACGCCATACAAAGGTAAGGAAATGCAAGACATCCGCATGGAGGAGGAATATTTTATGAAGAAAAGAAAAGGAGTTGAAGAGTAAGAGAACAAAAGTTGAAGAGGAAGAGATATGCAAAGAATATTCATTCAGCCTTCAGCCTGTTCGCTCGTTGGTTTTAGCCAGGGCTTATCAGCTAGTCAACAATATTTTCCTCTCACAATAAACCAGGCACAGTCCAGAAACCAACCAGCGAACAGGCCGATTGAATGGCTCCTCCTTGGAATTGCTCTTTAAGAAAACTGTCGTGGGTGATTCCTTTTCATTACAGTATAGTACTACGTTAGCTTTTTAATACAATCGTCAAAAAATTACAGAAAATCTCTCAGTCACTCTCCATAAAACGATCTCTTCTTGCAAAACCTTTTTTACTTCACACACAGGCTATGACTAAATCCTGACAGCAGGAAATAATATACAGGCCAAGCATGTTGAGAGGGCGGGGGCGGCGGGCGTTCATCGGGATGCTGCGGTCTTCTCCATGTAGGTGTCCAGCATCTTGTTCTGCACTCTGCCGATGAACCTGACGCAGATGGGCGGCGTGACGTCGTACCTGGCGAGCAGCGCGTAGGGTATGGAGAAGAGTCCGTCCCCACATATGAGCCCGGACGCAAACACCGGCGCGAACACCTGCGCGTCCTCCCTGTCCGTCCTGTTCCACATGAAGAGGATCAGGCTCCCCACGCACATGTCGATGGACACGGCCGGGACCAGCAGGAACGAGACGGCCATGCCGGTGACGCTCGGGATGTAATGCTGCGCAGGCCACTTGTTGTGCGTGGCCAGCTCCCGGACCGCACTCACGGCCAGCGCCAGCGCGAACAAGGCGACGCTGATGGCGAGGCAGTGTTCGGGCAGCTCGTGGTCCCCGGCGCCCAGCACGGCGATGGCACGGTACACCTTGGCCATGGGCGCCTCGTACACCGCCTTCTTGCCGTTGGACTCGTAGAAGTGGTGGAACACGGTGAAGACGAGCGGGTTGACGACGCAGCCCATGGCCGTGCCGATCACCTGGCTCAGGAGCGTGGCCCGCGGCGAGGTGAGGGTGAGGTACCCGGTCTTGAAGTCGGACATGAAGTCGGAGGCGGTGGACACGACGGCCGACACGACGCCGCAGATGACGAGGCTCCCCACGATGCCGCCGTTCCTGGCCCCGATCCACGACGCGAACAGCAGGATCACCAGCTTGTTGTACTGCGCCGAGAAGTTGGTCTCGGCGACGCCCGTGCCGTAGGCGTTGCAGAAGGCCAGGAGCGGCGCGAACGCGTACGCGGCGGCGACGTGGTAGAAGCGCACCTGCCTGTAGATCAGCGGGATGGCGGCGGAGGAGAGCGCCGCCAGCACGACGTAGCCGCCGATGGCGAACGTGCTGGGTATGTGCTCCCGGAGGAACACCTGCGTCCTGCGGCGGTCGTCGAAGCTGAGCGCCGGCCGCGGCATGGAGTCCACGTTGGAGAAGGACCTGATCGTCTCAGCGGCTAGCTGGTGGTGGCGCATGGTGTGTATGGTCCTCAGCGAGATCACGATAAGCTGGAAGATGCCGTCGCCGAGAATCATAGCTATCGCGCCAAACACCTGTAGTATCACAATCACAAGCGTGAATGCAAGATAACGTAGGTCGGTTGAAGATGTGCAATTTTCTTGGTTACCAATCACAGCACCTTGTAGCCGTTGAGGCCCTTTAGGCTGGTCTCCTGGAGATTGGCGTCGTACCAGATGCCTTTTTTGGTTTGGAGGTAGGGCCACATGATCCCCCAGGAGATGATGGAGCCGACGAGCATCGAGATGTTTATCAGGTAAGGGCTGATCATCCCCACACCAACGTAAGTGCCATTCATATTGATGTAAAATCTGCAGGCATCAGAAATAGTGCATCCATGAATTGAATTGAAATGAAATGTGTGAATTCATGGAATCGATTTTTCCGACCGACCCTTTACCCGTGTTTGTACGCGGTGAGCCCGAACGTCGGGAACGAAGTGAAGCCGCAGTTGGGTCCTCCGGTGTAGAACCACTGGAAGATGGACCAGAGCAAGCTCCCCAGGCACGACCGGACGACGAGCGACACCTGCCTCCTGTGATCAGCAGAAGCGGATGCAGCAACATCTATTCATCAGCTCGCCAAGAACGTCACCAGCAGGCTACCAATTCCTGTGCCATTGCCACTCACTTTGCCTGCATGACACCCTGGGGGTTGTGGAAGCTGTTGATGAGGTGCGCCGTGGCCGAGCCGCTCGGGAACGTCAGCCGGTGGCGGATGATCATGGTCTGTTCACCGGTGGGATCGGACGACGGAGGGACGTGGCGTCAGGACGCGGTGATCTCGTCGTCTGATGGTTGGTGGTCGGTCAGAGCCTACGTACCTTCCTCATGGGCACGATGACGAGGAGGCCGACGAAGCTGACGAGGAAGAAGAAGGCCATCGTCCGGCCGAGCGTCGGCTCGCTGATGTTCGCACCGGGGATGTTCGCGGTGCTAGTCTTCTCCGCCGTCTCCCGGTCCATCCCGAGAAGATACGATCCGAACCCGCCTGCAGATTACACGCAGCGCATCGACGACGTTACGCATGGCGACGCCAGTGACCGCGCGACGATGGCAACGCCGTGCACAGGAACGAGACGAGATTACGAACGGGGAGCCAGATCGCGCGTACCACTGTACGTCATGCTGGCGCAGGCGACGACGCAGGTCTGGACGACGGCGTTCTCCTGGCGGGTGAAGGGGCGGTGCGACACGCCCATCTGGCCGAGCAGGCCCGTCCACGCCTTGAGGAGGAAGAACCCCAGCAGGGCCGCCGAGATGTTGAGCGACGGGATGATCCCCGACGTGAACACCAGGTTCATCATGACGCCGCTGAGCGCCACGCCCAGCGCGAGGCTCGCCGCCAGGGCACGCCCCGTCACTTGCTCCGGCCACGGCGGGATGGGCTTCACCTCGAACGCCCGCTCCGTCGACGGGCCCTCCCGCGGGTCGCCGACCGACTCCATCCTCCACCCTCGCGGCGGTGGCGCTCCCTCGCTGTCGGTGCGAGCCGGTGACGGATAATAATGCATGTACGTTCGACGGCCGTGCAGCTCGCTCGGACGATTGGAAACAACGAGAGGCAGATTGGTTGCGTGCTTTTGGCTTGTCCACTTACTATTATTATCGAGGCATCGAGCTAATGGTGTGTCAGAGATGTATAGCACTCCTAAATGACATGGGTACTCTCGCCGCTAGTGCTCTGGAAGAGTAGTTCGACGAAACGGTATCTCGCAGTTTTGCTATGCTTTTGTTTCTGTTATTAGTAGAATGAAAAGAACATCGTGCTTGTATATGTATCTGCAGGATTTCATGATATTAAAGGTGTCGCGATTTGTTTTGTTTCTTTCTTTTGAAACTAACTTGTTTTATTTCTCACTAACCTACATACCTAATCTATCGCCAAGAGGCAAGAACCTTTTATTTCTCACTAACCTAAATACCTGATACCATCGCCTGACACGAAATGATACATGTAAATTGTAAAAGCCCTAAGTACCTGATACCATCGCCTGACACGAAATGATACATGTAAAAGCCCGAAATACCTGATACCATCGCCTGACACGAAATGATACATGTAAACGCTAGTCATTGTTTCCGTTGGCACAATACGAGTCCGGAGTTCTATAACGCCAACACATTGATTTCCATTCTTGTATAGGCAGGCCATGTGAGCTCGCTTACAGCAGTAGCAAAAACTGGGCAAACAGAAGACTGCTATCTTCGTTGCCAATTGCCATAGGCCATCAACATTCAGTATTACAACAAGCCAGGAAATGTATATATATCGTGCGCTTTATTCTTCTCGTACTGCTGTACACATGGATTTTCTAGGTAACTGGCTGTCATGGAGTATTACACGCAGTCGCTGAGCCAACAAATTAGCCAACTGATCCCTCAAGTTTCAGGTTCATGAGTGCGTCCACCTCCTGTGCGAACTCATAGGGAAGATGCTCGAAAACAGATCTGCAGAATCCACCAATCATGGCGGCAACAGCCTTTTCATGATCTACCCCTCTTTGCTGGAAATAAAATAGCTGATCCTCTCCGATTTTGGAAGTGCTTGCCTCATGCTCAACACGGCCACTAGTGCAACCCACCTGTTATCAACAAAGTTTTGTCACATTGATAGGGCAGAAGGTGGAAAAAATATGATGAAATCCAAGGACTAATGGTACTAGAGGATGTCATGTTCCGAGTGTTTGGTTCATTAGAACGCTAGCTTGCCAGTGACAAGACAACTTGTGTTTGCCATTAAATTACATATAATTACTCATGTATTGCAGATTCATAGGATATGAGAGAAATAACACAGGCATCGTGTTCCATCTCCACGATGATTGAACCTTCCTTAGCACTAAACTTCAAAGTTCAAACCATGCATCTCAGTTGCAAATGCATTTTCCAAAAACCACATATTTTTTATCACTTGCTTTTTTTAAGTGACATCAGAGAGATACTATAACTAAGATCTCACACTAAATCAACTGAATACAGATTTGGCCATCAAATCTTTAAGTAGATGCCTTTGATGCTACTGACTACGGACTCATGGCCATGTATTTCACTGCTAGATAAGTACTAACTGAAAACCATATACTTCATGATTAAGTCATCAAGTATATCAAATCCTAACGATTAAGTCATCAAGTATACTACAACAGCACACAAGTACAATCCTTGATTTTGAAGAGTCATATCAAAGTTTGCACTATGTCTACCTTATAAAAGAAAGAATCTGGAGTTATGAAGACAATATGATTTAAGATACAAACATCAAAATAAATATATCCTGATTATATAGCATTTATAATATAACATCAATTTTCCTATTAAATTTAACATCAAATCAATGTTTCTCCGTCAACAAATGCAAACATTTCTAGCTTTCCCTTCTTCCCTTACTGCTGCAAACTTATAAGGCTAGATCAACAGTTTGCTAGTAGGTAAAGTACCATCTTAGAAGACAGCAGCATTAACATGGTAAATATGTGTCAACATAATCCTTGTAGAAATATAATTAAATTCAATTTAGTTCATGCTATACCTTCGAATTAATCAAATCATCAAATTTTATTCCTAAGTGCCAATTTTAAGCCGAGTCTATATGCTTCATAACATGTGCATGGAAGGTAATTATTTACACGTAGAATAACAGAGCACTGAAAGCTTGTCATATCAGTCTAGACACTGTAACTGAACCTTGCATGTCAAACCGTGCAGAAGGGAAGAGTCAATTACCTGAATGGTGGGATAGGTGTTCGCAGCCGCATTATCCCCAATCAGCAATGAGTCACACTGTGAAGAATTATAAGCATTCTCCGCACTGGAGTTCATCAGGACCAAGCCACGGTAGCAATTCCTTGACTTCCCTGCAGAGATGCCCTTGGATATAATCCGGCTGCGTGAATTCTTCCCCTTGTGGATCATTTTCGTCCCTGTGTCTGCTTGCTGGCAATCCTTTGTAAGCGCAACCGAGTAGAACTCTCCAACACTGTCATCCCCGACGAGCTCAACGCTTGGGTACTTCCATGTAATAGCAGATCCTGTCTCAACCTGTGTCCATGAAATCTTCGAACCCCGCCCTTTGCACCGTCCCCTCTTTGTCACAAAGTTATAAATGCCTCCTTTGCCCTCCTCATCACCAGAGTACCAGTTCTGCACCGTGGAGTACTTAATCTCTGCCCCCTCCTCACACACAAGCTCCACAACAGCAGCGTGGAGCTGATTCGAGTCGTATGCCGGTGCAGTGCAGCCTTCCAAATAGCTAACCGTGCTTCTCTCATCGGCCACAATCAGAGTCCTCTCAAACTGGCCGGTCTCCTTGTCGTTGATCCTGAAGTAAGTCGAGATTTCCATGGGGCAGACCGTGTCCTTGGGCACGTAGCAGAAGGATCCGTCGCTGAACACCGCTGAATTGAGGGCGGCATAGTAGTTGTCGCCCGGAGGTACAACGCTGCCGAGGTAGCGCCTGACAAGGTCCGGGTACTCGCGGATGGCCTCGGAGATGGAACAGAAGATGACGCCCTTGGCCATAAGCGCCTCGCGGTGGGTGGTGGCGATGGAGGTGGAGTCGATGACGGCGTCGACGGCGACATTGGTGAGGCGCTTCTGCTCGGTGAGCGGGATGCCGAGGCGCTCGAAGGTCTCGAGCAGCTCCGGGTCGACCTCGTCGAGGCTATTGAGCTTGGGCTTGGTTTTGGGCGCGGAGTAGTAGCAGATAGACTGCAGGTCCACAGGCGCGTACTCGTTGTCGCTCCAGGTGGGCTCGACCATGGTGAGGAAGCGGCGATAGGCGGCGAGGCGGAAGTCCAGCATCCACGCCGGCTCCGCCTTGAGCTCCGAGATGCGGCGGACGGTGGCCTCAGACAGCCCCTTGGGGATGGAGAAGGACTCGAAATCAGAGACGAACCCGTACTTGTACTCCCTCTTCAGAAGCTTCTGCAGCGCGTCCGCCTCATCCTCCGCCGCGGCGGCCTGGGACGACGACGGAGACGGTTTCTGCGGGCCCGTCTGTACGGCCACCACCGAGAGGCGGCCGCGCCGGCGCACGTTGGCGCGGCGTCCGGAGCCATAGGACGCGTGCCCTACCCCGAGCTTGGAGGTAAGGGCGCACGGCGAGAAGAGCGAGGTGGAGGCGGAGGCGGCCATGGTGAGGCGGCCGGGGCGGAGCGAAAGCGAATTGGGGATGGGGAGAGAGGCTGAGACCGAGACCGGGGCAACCGGGGATTGTTGAGTGGGTGGAGCCGTGGAACCGGTGCACGATGCCCGCACGCGGGTAGGGGGCGCGTGGGAGGCCGGCGTTGGTGGGCGCGGTCCGGGCAGGGCTACGCCGCCTACGCGGGTGAGGGAGGGGTCGTGTGGCGGCCGAGAGGCAGAGCACGGCACTGGTGGATGTGGTTCGCGACGCGTGGCGGTCTCCAGATAATCTCGCAGAGATTTGGGGGCGAACTCGGCCAATTCTGCTCACCGGCTCACCGCAAACGCGGCGGCGAAAGCGCCTTGGTCGATCTAGAACGACCGCCCCTGCAGCTGACCGATCAGGTCAGTCAAGAGATGATCCGACGGCCAGCGCCATCCACGCCACTCCGATCTCTCAGGCCTGCCGCCTGCGGATCGAACGGGACCACCGGGCCGGCCGCCGACCCACACGCCACGGGCGGCGTCCAACGAAATGCGCTCGTTAAGTCGCCTCACTTCTCGCTGTGGTCACCACGCTTCACATCTCTGATCTCTCACGCGGTTGCGCCCGCCCGACATGGCCGCCTCCTCCCTGCTCCGCTCGCTCACCCGCCGCGGCTGCGCGGGCCCGGGCGCTTTCGCTTACCGCCACCAACAACAACAACCTTGGTCGCCCTTCTCCACCACCGCCGCTGCGGCGGCTGCGGGTACGCGGGACGAAGCGGCGAAGGGGTTCCCTGGACTGGGGCCGACGGCGAAGGGGGAGAAGGCCAGGGTGGTGGTGTTGGGGACAGGGTGGGCGGGGTCTCGGCTCATGAAGGACCTCGACACGAAAGGCTACGACGTGGTCTGCGTCGCCCCGCGCAACCACATGGTGTTCACGCCGCTGCTCGCCTCCACCTGCGTCGGCACGCTCGAGTTCCGCTCCGTCGCCGAGCCGGTCGTGCGCATCCAGCCCGCCGTGTCCAAGTCGCCGGGCTCCTACTTCCTCCTCGCCCGTTGCACCGGCGTTGACCCCGATGGCCACACTGTGAGATCCCCGCCCCCTCCCCGCTTAGGTGTGACCGTGCGAGTCGATGATGCTACCAATTGCTGTTGCTTTCACACATGTGTGTGCTGGTCTCAGTGTTCCCAGATTCTTGGAGAAATGCTAAAAGGGCATTTATGCTAGTACTCTGCTTTCTACCTTTTCAGTAGATCAGTGACTGGTGGTGTATCTGGGGTTAGTTGCGTACAGGTCTGGAGAAAAAGGAGGAATCTTAGCTTTACTCATCTATACACCATGAATTCATGAACATGTTCAGCAGCCTAGCAGTCTGTAGAGAAAGTGGCCTTTTGCCACATTTTTAACATTTAAGTACAAAGTTCGAGATCAATTATTTGTTCTGATTCGTTCAACACTATGGTTAGTGTGGATCTTTTTCTGTACCGTGCAAGCCTTGGATCGTTTCCCTTGAACCAAAAACATTTACAATGCATCAGGGACACCACTCATCATGTCCTGTATGTCTGCGAAGATGATGATCCACATTATGCACATGCTTCATCATTGTTCTAGTTCATTTGGCACCATTAAGTAATGTGTGCATAGCTTCTTAACTCACTTCCGAATTTTTCTGGATCAAAGGTTGATGCATTTCAAAGAGTTGCACAAAGATATGATGTTTTACAAAGTTACCATCTACTTTGGTCTAGTATATAGATAAATACCATGTATTAACTTTACATGTCTAACTGATACAGTGATGCTACATGGACATTTGCCTCCCAACATTTGTTTTTCTATCTGCAGCAGTTCTGTTCTGTCTATTTATTCACCTCCTTTTTCATTTAGATTGATTGCGAAACAGTTACAGATGGTGAGAAAGATTCCTTGGAGCCATGGAAATTCAAGGTTGCTTATGACAAGTTGGTTTTTGCCTGTGGAGCTGAGGCATCAACTTTTGGGATACATGGTGTTACCGACCATGCGATCTTTCTTCGCGAAGTTCACCATGCTCAAGAGATTCGGAGGCGGCTCCTCCTTAATCTGATGTTGTCTGATGTCCCTGGTATGCTTGCTTTAGCTTTACTTTTTCGGCATACTACATGTGCTAACCACCTCTCACTGGAACAAAACTTCTATGAGTACACACTATTTCTTGTTCTTACTTTCTTATTAGTGATGTTCTATTTTATAATTGCCTGATCTAGTAGAATCTAGAATACAACCAGGTGGGACTTAATTGGTTGGCTATAAAAACCCATAAAATATCTTGTCTCCTCATACCAAAATATCCACTTGAGTATTGTAAAGCACTGATAGACTGATGCAATATGACTAAACAGGAATTTCAGAAGAAGAAAAGCGCAGACTATTGCACTGTGTTGTTGTTGGAGGTGGTCCAACAGGGGTAGAATTTAGTGGTGAACTTAGTGATTTTATTATACGAGATGTCAAACAACGTTATTCGCATGTGAAGGATTATATCCATGTGACCCTGATTGAGGTTTGTGATGTTGTTTTTCTAGTTTACCGTTTATTTTTTAACTGAGCACTCTGATATCAGTTAACTTGTCTTATCATTTCAGGCAAATGAGATATTGTCATCATTTGATGTTCGACTCAGGCAATATGCTACTAACCAACTAATTAAGGTTAACAGTTTCTTCTCTGCATAATGTCATGTCACTTTTGCCTACAAGGCTTCAACAGACCAAGGTTTTGAAACTGCAGATTTCCAAATATAGCACACTGACAATCACGTGATATATCTGCTAATGGTTTGGATGCTGTTCTTTCTCATATTATTTGGCATCTGAAAAATAAGTTGTTTGTGTATGTTCACCCACCAGTCAGGTGTTAGGCTTGTGAAAGGAATTGTTAAGGATGTACAGCCCAACAAAATAATTCTTGACAATGGAGAGGAAGTTCCTTATGGTTTACTGGTATGGTCCACCGGAGTTGGTGCTTCACCATTCGTTAAGTCGTTGCCATTTCCGAAGTCACCTGGTGGAAGGTATAATTCTTTTGTGTCTGTGAGCATCATGTATTGAGTCAGTTATCCATGTGTATGTCTGTGTACACACATTTTTATGAGTAACTGTATATCTATGTGCCATCATATACTGACCGGGCTGCAAGTTAAATAATCCGCACACAAATTATCTTGTGTAGTTTGTGTGGGTATTATGTGTTTGTAGCAAATACTGATGCCATATTACTGTCCTGCTCTAGGATCTTTACAAGGTTTTTCAATGTTGACAGGATCGGTGTCAATGAGTGGTTACGTGTCCCTTCTGTTCAGGATGTTTATGCCATTGGTGACTGCAGTGGATTTCTTGAGAGCACCGGCAAGGAAGTTCTCCCTGCTTTAGCTCAGGTAGTCTCATGCTTCTTGCTGCAGTACAAGTCAGTCACAGAACATTTGCATGTGACTACGGCGGTATCCCTGTTCGCTTGGCTTATAAGTCGTACTTTTTCAGCCAACAAACAGTATTTTTCTCTCATAACAAATCAGCCAACAGTACTTTCAGCCATGGCTTATCAGCCAAACAAACAGGGCAACAGTACTTTCAGCCATGGCCACCCTGCATTGGTTTCTGAAGCACTGGGAAAAACAGATTTGGAGAGGAAACAAATGTAGGGATATACATGAAAAATTGAGTTGCAGATATTTCTGTTCCACTTCCTTATTTATATGATACAGTTGTTTACATTCATAAGAAATGTTGTTGAGCAAGATATTTTTTCCACTCGCCCTTGTGCGATTCTGTGATTCCTTTATTTTGTTTCAGAAGAGTTGATGTTAATTGTTAAATAAGATAACTCTTTTACTTTTACTCATGAGCAGGTTGCGGAACGACAAGGCAAGTACCTGGCAAGCCTGCTCAGTCATATCATGAAAGCTGGAGGAGGGCATGCAAACTCTGAGACTGAAGCAGATCTGGGTCGACCCTTTGTGTACAAGCATCTAGGCAGCATGGCAACTGTTGGAAGATACAAAGCTCTAGTGGATCTGAGGCAGAGCAAGGTCAGTTATTGGTCGATGTTCTCTATTTGCAAGCTTTGACAGTTTACTAGCTGATCATGGGTTTACTAAAACAAATTTATTTCTCCATTGGCAGGAGTCAAGAGGGATATCTCTTGCAGGATTTGTAAGCTGGTTCATCTGGCGCTCGGCATACTTAACCCGTGTTGTTAGCTGGAGGAATAGGTTCTATGTGGCTATCAATTGGCTGACCACACTCTTATTTGGCCGGGACATAAGTAGAATCTAGAGTGTCTTTGTAGATGTACGAACAACAAATAAGATCGATGTAGAGCTACACGCCACGGTCACTTGCTTGCCACACACCCCTCTTTTCTTTTTGGGTCCTCTTCTACCACTGACCCTATTAGCTGTGAATGTAATTCACAGGTAAATTATGAATAAATCCAAGGATGCCGCAGTTAGTTACATGTGCTGTGAATGTATAATACTCTTAGAAAAGTCTAAAGGACTTGGAACGGAGGGAATACTCGTGTAATCCTTGTCAAATATATGAGTTTTGATTTGAGGAAGAATCTCTGGTCAAATAGACTATTTTCATGGCAGTAAATAGGCTGTTGGACGAGAGGGGAAAAAATACTAAAAAAGTCCAGAGCACAATCTTTAAATAAATCAGTGTTTGAACTCCATTCCCAGTCTTTGCTGTTGTTGATTGGTCTCAACTTGTCAATGAACTGTTTGTTGAAAAATAGCTATGCCTACCAAAGGTAGTCTGAAGACTAGGATGATAATAGGAGTATCAGTTACCTCCTCTCCTCTCCTCTCCTCTCAATTAAAATAATTTCATAGATCACACAAGTTGTAGCCATACTTTTTTCAGCAAACGAACAGTATTTTTCTCTCACAACAAATCAACCAACAGTACTTTCAGCCATGGCTTATCAGCCAAACGAACAGGGCAAGTTACTAGGCCAATTCACAAGAGAGCTCCAGATGGGTGCGGAGGACCCCGACCTGCTCCTCCCCTTCCTCGTCGCCCCCGTGCCAGCACCCAATCCGCCTAGATCCGCCGCATCCTCCGCTTCTTCATGCCATCAGCCCCAAGATCCACATCCTCCGTCTCCCAATCTACCTGCTGGTAGGTCGCAACCCAGCGTTCTTCTGGTTCCCAGCGAGCTCGAAGCCACCGGCGCTCCCTTCCATGCCAGCCCCTCCGCTCCCCTCTCCCCCATCCCTAGCCGACCGGTGACCTCCCCGTCGCCGGCGGCCACCACCCCAGCCGCCCTTGCCACAGTAGACGGGAGGGGACCCGCCTCCCCCCCTCTCCTCTCGCCGCCCCTGTCTTCCCGGCGACGACGACGACAGCAAGGAGACCGCGCCAAAGACAGAGGAGCAGCAGAAGGAATACGAGGAGCTGGTCGTCATCGAAGATATCATGGAAGACGATGACGAGGCTATTGAAGTGTCGCCATCCCCTCGCGTGCCCGCGGCGCCAGAGCGCTCCGACCCCGGCCCTAGCCTGCCGGCGCCCGCCCACGCGTCGGCACCCATCTCCACCGTGCAGGCCGCAGGCTCAGGCAGGACCTCGCCGTCCTCCCTCTCCCCGCATGTTCCGCCCTTCTTCCCCGCCCATCAGTCGGCAAGGCAGAGTAAATTCCCACGTTGGGAGAAAGACCCCTGTGCTGGCAACTCCGTCGATGACCTCGCGTCATCTGCTAGTCGCTTATCATACCTGGACGCTGCTTGCAGGGCCCTCGGGGCCTCTCCTCCCCCGCAGGCGGTGGCTCCGGACACGGCATAGAGCGCGCTTGCCATGGATGGTGAGGCCGCCAAGTTGAAGCGTCACCATCGTAGGTACAGCACACCTAGCAGTCGCAAGGCACCCGCGCTGCGTCGCCTTGGTTTGCAGCCGGCGGCAAGAGTCCCGGTGCACCAGCGCCTCGGCCTGCGGCGTTGGGCGTCGGTGCCTAACACGTCCCGGCAGCCCCTTTGAGGGCTGAAAGCATCTAGGCCCCTAGTTGGGTTTCGGTGATTAATGACAATGCGTGATTTACTGTAACTAACATGTGTTTTGCAGAGGCAATTAAGTTAGGTCACGGTAATAGAGATTGATTGGACAAACATGGTTGTCATGCCCCTTCGATGGAAATCGTTTCGGTTTTCAAAGGATGGACGACAAGGTTAAGGATTGACTAGTTCTGAGTGTCGATTGGTGTTGAAGAGACACTTAGAGTAGTTTAGGACTTTGTTTTTCCTTTGACCGTACTATTAAGGGAGGTATGGACGTGTAGCTTGACCTAGGTGAGTCTAGTGGGTTAGGTGTGGTGCACAGTTGCTAAATCTAGCACTAGGTAGCTCCTAAAAACCCTTAGATCAATTGGAGCAAACTTCATTCACATATGATTGCGAGTTGTAAGTGGATGGAGGGTCAAATACTGACCGGACGCTGGTTTCGGTGTGATCGGACGCTGGCGCAGAGTTCGGTCAGTTTATTTGATCAAGGTGAATTCGTCTAGTGCGACCGGACGCTGAGAGGTGAGTGACCGGACGCTGGGTCTTAGCGTCCGATCGACTCCAGTAAGGTTCCAGAGAGGGAAAATCATGACTGGACGCGTCCGGTCACAACTTAAACACTGGGTTTCAGGGAGAACTGACCGGAGCGTCCGATCAACTTGACCGGAGCGTCCGGTCACCCCGCAGAGGCACTTAACGGTTCGTTTTGAACACGGGTGTATAAATACTTCATTGATTCGTATGAGGGGGTACTTTTGCTCATTCCAACAGCTGAGAAACACCCTTGAGAGTGCCAAGAAGAGTAAGGTCCTAGTGAGGTGATTGAGATTTGAGAATCCAAGAGAGAGCCCTCATTAGTGAAAGCAAGAGTAGCAAAGTGTGCATCCACCATTCTCATTAGGCTTGTCGTGGTCAAGTGAGAGTTCGTGCTTGTTACTCTTGGTGATCGTCATCATCTAGACGGCTTGGTGGTGATTGGGAGCTTGGTGATCATCCGGCGGAGCTTGTGGATGACCCAACTCAAGTTGTGAGCGGTTGTGAGTGATTCACCGCGATAAAGTGTCAAAGAATCAACCCGTAGAGAGCACTTGATCCTTGCACGGATCAAGGGGGAGCTACACCCTTACGCGGGTGCTCCAACGAGGACTAGTGGGGAGTGGCGACTCTCCGATACCTCGGCAAAATATCACCGCATTCCTCCTTCTCTCTTTACTTTGAGCATTTACTTTGAGCAATTCAATACTTGTCTTTACATTCATAGAATTGTCATGCTAGAGTAGGATTGGAACTTAGGTTGTAAGACTTTTTGTGCGGTAGAACATTAGAAACACTTTCTAAGCACAAGGGGTGAAGTTCGGCTAACCGTAGGGTTTAATTATTGCAAAGAAATTTAGAATTAGCCCAATTCATCCCCCCATCTTGGGCATCTTGATCCTTTCAATTGGTATCAGAGCCTCGTGCTCACGTATTTAGGCTTAACCGCCTAGAAAAAGATGTCTCACGGGGATGGACCTCCTCCTATCTTTGAGGGGGATGATTTTTCTTATTGGAAAATCCGCATGAAGGCGTATTTAGAAGCTCTAGATGTTGGGATACTTAGAGCCGCCTCACAAGGCTTCCCAAAACCTCGAGATGCCACACACCTACAAGGAGATGAGGTCAATTACGAAAAATGGAATGCAAAGGCTAGAAACACCATCTTTAGAGGCCTTTGCAAAGATGTGTTTAATCGGGTGAGGAACCACAAAGACGACCATGTACTATGGTCGGATATTTGTGCGCTCCATGAGGGAACAAAGAGCGAGCGTGTGGAATGCTATCATCTTGTCATGAAAAAGCTAAATTCATTTGAGATGCTTCCTAAAGAGAGTGCTAATGAAATGTACTCACGCTTGAATGTTCTTTTAGAGGAAGTCAATGGGCTTGGACTTACTCAAATGCAACCATCCGACGTTATAAGAAAAATCTTGAGTGTCCTCCCCATTGACAAATATGGGCATATTGTGACCGTGCTTCATTAAGGTGATCTTTCCACCGCTACACCAACACAAATCTTGGGAAAGATCAATGCTCATGAGATATACATGCACATTACACCACAAGATGGCTCATCCTCTACTAAGAAGAAAGACAAGAACTTAGCATTCAAAGCTAGCCAAGAGAAGGGCAAAGCAAGGCTTGAGTATGAGAGCTCAAGTGATGATGAAATTGATGATGCAAGTCTTGCTCTCATGGTGAGAAGAACCGCCAAGATGCTAAAGAAGCTTAACAAGAGTGGCATCAAGTTTGATGGTAAGAAAAAGAAGTTCTTCACTAGCTCTAGAAGGAAGCCAATCTTAGAGATGGATTGCTACAATCGTGAAGAACTTGGTCATCTAGCACACCAATGCACAAAGCCCAAGAAAGATAAGTACAAGAACAAGTACAAGGACAAGAAAGATGACTCAAGTAATGAAGAAGAAGATGAGAAGAAGAAAAACAAGTCATACAAGAAGAAGGATGGCAAGGACTTCCACAAGAAAAACAAGAATGGCAATGCATATATCATCGGTGATTGGCTCACGGATATTGATTCATCAAGTTGCTCATCCGATGATGATAGTGATAATGAGAAGGTGGTCATCATTGTGATTGACTCTTCATCATCTTCACCGACACCACCACCATCATCTTCTACACACCTATGCCTTATGGCCAAAGGTGAACGCAAGGTATCAAATGATGATGATAGTAGTGGTGATGATCATGCTAACAATGATGATAGCGATAGTGATGATGATGAATATGAATCACCTTCTTATGATAATCTTGTTAAATTGCTAAATCAATATACTAAGATCATTAGAAAGACTAGAGCTAAGAATGACAAACTAGAAGCTAAGAATGATTCTCTTTTAGCCAAATGTGATATAGCCGAAAAGGCTAGTGTTGAGCTTAGAGAAACAAATGATGCTATGTCATCCAAACTCAAGGAGCTCAAATCTTCTAAGAAAGAGCTTAAAAATAAACATGATAAACTTGAGAGGATACACAATGAGCTCATCACTAGCCATAATATGCTAAAAGAAGAATATACTAATCTTAAGATTAATCATGATAATCTTGTTATTGCTCAAGAATTTCTATCCAATGAGCCACATGATGCTACTAACGATGTTGTTAAGACTGATATAGCTACATCATGTGATGATTTGATCATTGAGAGCATTGAGCAAAGTTCTAGTAGCAAGGGCAAGCAAGTGGTTGAGACCGATAATTATGATGAGTATGTCAAGC